CATCTCTGTGCGTGCTCCGATCCGTCTCTGCTCGCGCTCGACCTGCTCTCTCCGCGCTCAACACCAGCTGTGCTTGAATTATCTCAAATAAACTTCAGTAAAACAGTTATTGGATCATTGCCTCATCCATCTCTTTTACCTGCTATTGACATGGATTTAAATTTGCTGTTTTAAAAGAAAAATAAGGAGGATATTTCAGGTTCAAGTATGGTTATACAATATATAGAAAATATTATGGATATGTTACGTTTTTTATGGATGCTTCAAAATATTCCAATATTAGGAATGGTGTTTTGTTTTAGTTCCAGAATTTATTTTTAAATCAGGTAAAAGAATCAGCGATCAGTAACCGGATGTAGTATTTGGAACGAATGCTTTCATTGGATGAAAAGAAGCTGAGCGTGATTGGCTGATGGTTTGGTTCATTTACATACATTGCTGAAGTCGCGAGCGCAGAGAGTCGAGCGAGCGGAGAAACAGCCGAGAGCACAGCTGGTGTTGAGCGCGGAGAGAGCAGGTCGAGCGGGAGCAGAGACAGATCCGAGCACGCGCAGAGATGAAACTGAGTGCGAGAACAGTGTGTTGAGAGGGTTTTTCAGAGTTGAGCGCGCGCCAAAATGATGGCACAAATCTCTCCATACATTGCTGCCCCCCTCAGGACACTGGATTGTGACATTTCATGGACATAATGCTGCCGTGCGTTATGCATATGTTAGGCTGTCGTTGGACATAAGTTCTACACTCGTTATCATACGCTATATATATGCACAAAATTGAAACAATTTATAGAAAGTTCAGCTTATGCCAGCGTTTTAGGAGATTCTAGGACATTAGGCTTTAACACATTTTCTCTGGATTCCATTTTAAGTGAGGATTTCAAAGAAAAGTTCAGGTCTGTTCAACTTCAGCGATCACCGCTCCTCTCTCTCTCCATGTGCTGCTGCTGTTTGACACCTGAGCTCTATCTAGTAGCACGAGGTGAGAGGAGCAGTGAATGCTCTCACCGCACGGAGTTCACTCCTGGCCGCTTCACCGCCCGGTTTGCATAGGAATTTTTTATTAAAACCAGCGCATCTGGTCTGAAAGCACCATCAGAGGTCTGTTTAAAGCACATAGAGCATCATGAACAAGGAACACAGCATGCAGGTCAGAGATACTGTTATAGAGAAGTTTAAAGCTGAATTTGGATACAAAAAGATTTCCCAAGCTTTAAACACGATGTGTTCAAAACCTATGTCACAATGAATTTATTTCAGGTGTTACGATATAATCCTGATATCACTACCCCCCCAAAACATAAAAGCTTTAGAAAGACTGCCAAGAATGTCCACACAGATGCCTGTAGAAATGTAACACAACTATCTGGCATCTTTATAAAACATTTCATTTGAGAAATATCTGTTTTAACACTATATGTCCCGGAGAATTCCAGTTTTCCTGCAAGCCCCCCTCCCCTCTTCAAGTTTGTGTATTCACTCTACCTTGCTAAGTGTTCTTGTTGTAATGCTAATAACCTGTGATGTTACCAGCCCTTCTGCACGAGGCTGGATAAAGGCTCAAACAAACTGGCATCAGAACCAGAGCATGCTCCAAACACTTTTCATTACCTGCCCCTGCAACATCAGACCTTTTTGCAGGAATATCCTAATAAGTCATATCTAAATCCTTAATTTAGGCAAACCTATTGAACAACCAGATATCATACGGGTCCTAGTTCCTGAGTTGAGAACTGGTCATAACCATGATTTTCCAACAAGACAAGGCAGAGCCTATATTGTCCATTTACCAACAGACTCATTTATATTGCAAAGCTCACTATGTGAAAGAAACTTAGAGAATAAATGTATTTTGTCTGTTCTCGCCTTTTCATGTAATTCAACATTTCAGCTTAGAGAATGACAGACAGTATGTTTTCAGTATTGGAGTAACATTTATTCTACCCAAGGAAAAGCACTACATATGAAGCTACAATTGTCTCATTTAGCAGTTTTTACAAACCCAAGGTGAGTCCTTCCTGCATTTGCAACAGGTATACTTTGTACAGTGAACACAACGCTAAGTGCTGTGGTTCCTGTTGCAAAGAAAACAGACCTGGCCTGCTTATAATAACAATGAAAAAAACCTAAAAAAAAAAAAAAAATGGTGTTTAGCACATATTCCCAAAGTAAGAGTTGTAGTATGAACTAGATCAGTTTATCTATGTATCCTACAAGTTTGGAGGCACTACAATGATCTATAGTGTAATCATTGCTCATTTTATACTTATTCTAATAATAGATTAGAGGTTCCATTTGTCATTTAGACTTTTGGAAATTCCTCATAAAAGTATTATTTTCGAATCCAATAAATTTGATAATAATCCAACTCTCCTTGGTGATGCTTTTGAATATTTCTCTCTCATTATTTTGCAACTTGCAGAGCTCGCTCCTCCTGCACATTTTTGGAGCAGTGAGCTCCCCATAGGGTCCAATGTAATTCTCCAAGCACGATAAGAGACTGGCTTTTAGGAAACTATGGTTGTAGCTCACCGTTTGCCTTGCTGTGGTTGCAGAGAGTTCTCCGTTTTGTAGAATAAATAATCCACCGACGAGTTATTAATCCGGAAAAGCCGAATCTGTGAATTTACTGCCAACTTCATAGCAGACTTAGGATGCTGGCTGCGTGTCTGCAGCGGAAGAGAGAGAGAGATCGCTTGAGTTATATTTTCCCCCAAATAAATAATGCTCATTATCGTATAAATGGTCATTATTGTATAAATATTGTTGCTTTCTACAACGTTCCAGCTCATCCAGCGATTTTCATTGTACAGATCAGTTATCGTCTGATAAATCATTGTGCTGTTGGCGACACTGATGATGTAGACCTAGTTATATTTGATTACAAATATGAGATTCCCCTACAGACACTGTCCTGTAGATTAAAATATTGAACAGTGTTTATTTCATTGGGATCAGTTTCATCTGAACCATCATGATGTCTAACCAGCAACTAACCTGTTTATTAGAATAAAGCAGACAGATGTTCACTGATGGAAGGAAGCAGAACTGTTGACCAGCTGAGGATGTGGATTATAGATCCAGATCACACAGAGCTGATTAACCTCTAATTCACAGCTATTCTTGGTGTGTTTCTAGTAATTATATGCAACACCATGTTAGAACTAGGTGTGTAAATGACATCCATCATGGTGATTCGATTCAGTATCAATTTCCTGACCCAACGATTCGATTATTTTCGATACTCAAGAATACACCACGATTCGATTAATCGTTTTTTTTTTTTTTTTTTTTTTACACCTTACAGGCTAAACAAAGTTTCAAGTTTGAAATAAATCAATGAAAGCTGTAATATCATTATGAATGTTCTTTAGAAACAACAGCAAATAACAGAAGTAGAAAAGTTGCATCAAAAAATACTGCAAAAATACTGCACTAAATCAGTGTAATGAGTTCAATGCAATACCTCGGCTCCAGAGAAACTGTCCAACATATTTTTTTAGAATGTAATAAATATACTCAGGAAAGAGAGATGTTGTGTAGAGAGTTAGACAGGAATAAAAATAAACTAGATATAAGGGAATTGTTTCAAAGGTCATCTGGGGATGTAGTTTTTGGGAGTATTTTTAATTTTCTAAGAAGAACGGGTATTTTAGGGAGAATATAATAGTTTGTTTGGTCCATACTCCATTCTGGAAGGTGGCGGTAATGCACCAATAAGTTGTTTGCCAACCGCCATAAAAAAAAAGAAGAAGAAGAAGGCTCCAGAGTGTCGACGTCACCGCCCCCTTGAGAGACGCTCCGCTGCACCTCTCCCAGATTGTAGCTGACCGCAAACAGTGCACCAGACAGGAGGCCGGCTTGTTTTGTTTTTATGACCGAAATTGCGGAAAACAACTTGTGAAGTTTGACCCGCTAGAAGAGCGAGGTGCACGAGAACGCTGGGACCCTTTTTCCAGCTGAATCTCCGCTCTTTTTGGCACTCATTTCCCTCCGTCGTCGGACTAAACTCGTCCCCACTTCCTCGCCGCCTCGGCCGTATCTAGACCCACAGCGTGTAGCACAGACCACGCTTCAATATTGAGCATAATTTAAAAATGTCTGTGTCAAGCTCACTGCAACAAACTGCTGTAAGAGTATAACCAGGAAGCGCGGTAGGAGGGCATAATAGGTTTAGCGCCACCGCAGCACGGGAGGGAGAATTACACCCAGGAGCAAATGGATAAAAATAGACCGGAGGAAAAAAAACATGAATCGATTATCTTGCGGACGTGTCGATGCATCGGATCGTCGGCTTTTGGATCGATGCATCGATACAAAACGATTATTATTTACACCCCTAGTTAGAACCATAGATGGATAATTTTTTATTGGTCTCCTCTAACTGAACATTGAAGTAAAGAAACTCATCGTTTACTTTTCCCCTAAACTAACAAAATCCCTACTTCTATGTGTAGCTGGAGGGAAATGAGGCAGATTCAGTTGGATCCGTTCTTCCTGCTTCCTGTGTAAAAATTCATAAATTATTTATATTTCATAAAGTAAGAGTAATGTTAGAAGTTAATGTATTTAGCTAATTATTACTGCTTTGCTTCATATATGTCTGCATTTGGCCCACCATCACAGTTAGAAACAGGAAACCCTGAAACAGATTCAAACTCTCTGCTGCTTGATCCCTAACATTCATAAACCTCATCAGTCTGAGGATCGAATCATTTTAATGTAAAACCAAACATTAATGTTTATCCAGGAGTTAAAGCTTCCTGTGATGAGAGGAGAATATATTAAATATTTCCAGTAGTGACTCAGCAGATGTTAATGATTCAATATTTTTCTGTTAAATCAGTTTCTGTTTCTGAAGGTTCAGCTGATAAAGTTAAAACAAGTTAAAATCAAGAGATTTACAGTCTGTGGGAAATAAATGATAAAACTGAACCATCAGCTCTCAGCTCTGTTGGACCAGAAGACTATGAATATTACTCTATCTAAAGCAAGAAGCTGCAGACCTGGAGAAAAACATCTGATCTGAGAGGTTTGTGTCTCACATCAGAACCAGGAAGCTGCTGGAGGTTCTGATCCAGAAACAATCAGACTCACCTGGGTCAACTATCAGGTTAATGATGCTGAGCAGGTCAGTGTCCAGAGGGTCTCTCTTCCTGCAGCTGTTTCCTCCCTGAACGACTCGACACTCAAATATTCCTGAATCATCAGGTGTTGCTTTCTTCAGAATCAAAGAAGCGTTTCCATTCCCCACATCCTGCAGTTCCACCCGGTCCTTAAAGGATGGAGACTGAGAGTCTTTATTAACTCTATTGTCACTGAACAAAATAACATATTGATCTGACTCCAGATCAGTTCTTCTCCACTCTGCAACATCAAGCTCTTCCCTTAAAGGAGCTCTGCATGGCAGAGTGACGGTTGCTCCATATTTAACTCTGATGGTTCTCTGATCTGCAGGAGAGAAAAAAAAAAACACAGATCATTTTAGAGAATCCTTTAGAAGTACGCAAACCAACATGAATATTTCCTTTTTGTGGGTTTTGAACCCTCCATATATCCACCAAGTTAAGTTCCTTTATAAAACAATAAAAAGCTTTCATGGCAATGAAGAAATTCTCCAAGATAGATCATTATAAAAATCAGTATAAGTACAATCAGTATAATATTCGTCGTTAGGTCCATAAACATTAATCAGATTAATACGAGTTGATAGAATATTTTACTGTACAATAAAATTTTTTTTTTACAATTTGGACTTTATTTTATCAATGTGCAAATCAAAGGATTTATGAATAAAAATTATAACTCGTATGGATTAGAAGAATAAGCTAAAAATAATATAGACCTGGCCATCTGTGTTTAATTTTTATTGTCTCATGGTGCAGAATGCGTTTCCTGCAGAAGCAGGATTTTGGTTCTCATCCGTTTTGTTCTACTTAGTACTTTGTTTAATTTTAGTAAGTTTATGTAAATTATCAACAATTTCAAAGAGACGCATTCAACCAAAACATCTGTCTATTGTTGTGGTATAATTATTAAAATAAATAAAGATTAAATACATTAGTTTATGCACAGCTATATATAAAAAATAAAACACAAAAAGAACAGGGTATTCATGAAGCATAAAAGAAGAAGAGATGGACCCACCAGGCCTGCCCCCCTAGAACATGCAGGCCGCCCCAAGACCCTAGATTGCTTCCATTTACTATATATCCCTCTATACTGAGGAACTATTTTACTGGAAACCAAAACTCAGCTATGTGGCTAATTCATGAAAACTAAATTACCCAAATAAGTCAGTTTTTCTATTAACTAAGAACAAAATGTTTTCTATTAACTAAGAACAAAATGTTTTCTATTAACTAAGAACAAAATGTACGCAGGACTACAAACACATAACGTTCATCAGTTACTTGAAAGAATCTTTTTTAAACAAAAACGAAAATAAGAAATAATGCAGTTAAGCTGTCAGCATTATGCTTAACATTTCTATTTAAATCATCCATGTCTGTAAACATTACAATCCAAAGTTTTTAGCTTAGATTAACCCCTACATACCTACTGGTACCCAACAGGCCCAACCAGTTTACAAGTTTAATAGAAATTCTCATTAAAGCACATTTTATTTAGTGGACATCACATCCTGGCTCCAGCCTCTTGTTCTACCTCTGATGTCACCACACAAAGATGGGTTTGTGTGGAGCTACTAAATGTAGGATATCTGTGTTTAAAATAAGCCTGATCGATTCAAAACAATAACTCAGAACCACCTGGTTTGTCCTGCTGAATGATTTTAATGCAAAGATAAATGAAGTCAGCATCACATCATCAACACTTTAAAATCTTTGCTCATCAGATCAGAATCTTTCTGTCCATATTAATATTGCACATAACCTCCAGTAAAACATCCCAGGATTGCCCTTGTGTCTGAGTTTAAACCTAAAGGCAGAAACTATTTAGTTCATTTGCATCATTGTGGACAAGCAAAGGTTTTCTTTTTGTGTCCTGATTGGTCAGACCCCGTATGGAGACTCTCCATAAAAGGAAACAGCATCTAATCTGAGATGATTTTTCTCTCACATCAGGAACCAGGAAGCTGCTGGAGGTTCTGATCCAGAGACAAACAGACTCACCTGGTTTAACTTTCAGACCAATGGTGCTGATGATCTTAGGGTCAAACTTATCTCCTGCCAGTCCAACTTTACACTCATATGTTCCTGTATCAGCAGCCGTCACGTTCGTCAGGATCAAAGACATGTCTCTATTCGTCACGTCCTTCAGATTCACTCGGTCCTTGAAGGATCCACATGTGGCATCTGAATCAACCTGAGGCTCTCTGTATAAAAGGGCAAGCATTTCGACTCCCAGATCAGCTTTGCTCCACTCTACAAATGTAACGTCTTTGTTCCCAGCTGGTCTACATGGCAGAGTGACGGTGCTTCCATGTTCAGCTCTGATGATTGTCCGATCTGCAGGGGAGAAGAGATCACAGAGCGGAGAGGTTAGAGAGGAGCTCTGAATATTATCACAAACACTGCTGATATATAAAAAATAAAATAAATATATATATATATAAATATATATATATAAATAAATAAAAGTTTGGGGTCCCAAAACAATTTTGTGTTTTCCTGAAAACTCACACTTATTCACCACCATACGTTGTGAAATGAATAAAAAATAGAGTCAAGACATTGACAAGGTTAGAAATAACCTTGGTGTTTGGCGGTTGTGGGGGGGGGGGCAGGCCGCGGCCGGCGCGGCCGTCCTCCTCTCGGCGGCCCGTGGGCCGTGCAGGGCCGGAGCGGGGTGGGTCATGCAGCTTTCGCGCCGGGAGCGGCGGGGTCGCATCTGCTGCTTTCTTTTTGCTGCTTGTGCCGGCTTCTGGCGGCTGGGCCGGCTTTGCTGCTCTGGCGTGCGCCGGGCGGGGCTGCTCTATCCTTTGTTTTGCCTTGCGGCTGTGTTTGCTGTGGTTGGTGGGGGCGGAGTGGTTTCGTTGTGTTTTTGGGTGGGGGAATCCGCCTGGGGGCTTGGTTGGTGCCGTCGGTTCGTCCATATCGGCCTTCCGGTGTCGTTTCTGTTGGAGCCGCTCGGGCCCCCGCATGCCAGCTGTGCGCTGTCGGCTTCCTGTTCGGCGGGCTTGCTTGTCTCCTGGGAGGGCAGGCATGTTAATTTTTCTGGGGAGGAGCGTCTGGGTGGAGGGGTCCTCGCGGTGTGGCGGTGGGTGTTGGACACTGGCTTGTTAGAGGCTGTTCTTCTTCAGTGAGGGAGAAATAATTTTTTTTGTGTGTGTGGGAGGGGGGGTGTGAGCGGGGGAATCGGAGCTTGGAGTGGGGCTCAGGATTTGTGCTTTGCGGTGTTGTGTGGCTTTCTTCTTCTTCGGATTGGTGTTGTGGGACCGGTGTCGGGGGGAGAGTCGTTCGGGGGCCGGTGTCGGGGTGGGGTTGCCGGCGCCGGGGGTTTTTGGGCATTGTCCGGCCCTACTGCTGGGTGGGTCTGGGGTGGGTCCTGGGGTCTGGGATCCCTGGGGCGCGTTGCCCTTGGGCACATTTACACAAATAAAAAGTCAAAAATTCACCAGATTTTGTGTTGCTCTTCTCAATCAACAACTAGAAGCAGAACCCAGCTACCTGATGGATGATTAACTCTAAACCGAATAGTATAATCTATCTCTGAAATTCATTTAAATAATTATGAAAACTAAAAAAAATCATTAAAATAAAAAAGATATAAACCAGTTCATTATGGGTTATAGTTATAAAAAGTGTGTTTTACTGGTATGAGATGCGTTTACTGATGTGAAGTGATGAGAGTGAAGTAAAGCTTTAAGACTGAGGTAGAAGTCTGCAGGGGAAAGAACCGACCCAGAGTTCTAACTAAATGCTGTCAACCTTTCCTACATGGAAGCCCAGTGTATCAGCAAAGCAGACAGGATACTAATTTATTTCTCTAATTTATATTCTGGTAGCATCCCTGCTACTTTGATAAGCAGCTGTTGTCTACAAAGCACTTTATAAATGACTGAATTGTCAGTAAACATGATTTCTGCTGTCTAGCGTTCAGCCTGACCTGTACTGTTGATCGTGCATTACTACTAATTATTCAAACGGTTTTAAATGTTTACAAAATGCAGCAGGTTAATAATGTCAGTGGTCGTGACTTCCGAGTCTGGTCTGAGGGCGCCATGGAGAAACTCCAAGACTGTTTTGAATGCTCTGACTGGTACATCTTCAAAGCTGCAGCAACGTATGACAACTTATAAAATATTGATGAGTATGCCATGACTGTGTCCGCCTACATTAACAAATGCATTGAGGACGTCAGCATCAAAAAGAACATCACCACCCGGGCCAAACAACCACCCTGGATAAATGAAGAGGTTCCGAAATCGGTAAAAGCTCGGAACTCAGTCTGGTGATAAAGAGGCACTGAGAACAGCGCGTGCCAACTTAACCGTGCCATCAGAACCACAGCCAGAAAATCCAGGATCTTTTCCACAACGACAGCAACACCAGGAGGATGTGGAAAGGCATTCAGATGATCACAGACTACAACACACCCACCCCCAAGTAGATGCAGCAAACACTGACTTCCTGAATGAACTGAACAACTTCTTTGGAAGGTTTGAGGCACTAAACAGCTTTCAGCAGTGAAAGCTGTTCCACACCAGGGAGAGGAGGCACTAAACCTGGATGTAGCTGAAGTGAGAAAAACTCTTAGGGGAAACAACCCAAGGAAGGCCCCAGGGCCTGATAACATACCTGGGCGGGTGTATAAGGAGTGTGCAGATCAGTTGGCTGGTGTCCTCACAGACATTTTTATCACCTTGCTCGACCAATCCACAATGCCAGGATGCTTCAAGTCTGCCTCCATTATTCCAGTCCCAAAGAAGCCTCAGGTCACCTCACTCAATAATTCCCGGCCTGTTGCACTGACTCTAATCACGATGAAGTGCTTTGAAAGGCTGATTAAAGAACACATCATCTCCAGTCTGCCGCCAACATTCGACCCATTACAGTGTGCCTACCAACGGAACCGCTCCACTGAGGACGCCATCTTTGCTGCTCTCCACCTGAGCCTGGCACACCTGGAGGAGAAGAACACCCAGGTGCGGATGCTGTTCCTGGACTTCAGTTCAGCTTTCAACACCATCATCCCACAGCATCTGATGGGCAAACTGGAACAGCTGGGCTTCAATACACCCCTCTGCAATTGGCTGCTAGACTTCCTCACCAACAGACCTCAGTCAGTCCGGGTCGGACAGAACACCTCTGATGTCATCAGTCTAAGCACAGGCTCCCCTCAGGGCTGTGTCCTGAGCCCCCTGCTGTTCACCCTGATGACACATTACTGCGTGCCCAGGTTCACCAACAATCACATGGTGAAGTTTGCAGACGACACCACGGTGGTGGGCCTCATCAGAGACGACAACGACTTGGACTACAGAGAGGAGGTGGAGCAGCTGGTGGTGCAGAGATAACAGCCTGATCCTGAACTTGGAGAAGACGAAGGAGATCTTTTTTTTTTTTTTTATTGAACTTTTTTGCAAAGCAGGAAAACATCAAAAATTAAACACTCTACATACATAGGAGAAGGATATACACATATATAAAAAAAAAGTAATAAAACAACAATAAAACAAAAAAAATAAATAAATAAAGGGAGCCCACAAGCAGAAAAAAACAAACATAATTGCAGTTGGTACCTAACGTGACTTGTCTATTACAGATTCCCAGAATTGCAAAATATGAGGACAACTCCACAATCAATGAAACAATGAACCAACAGTAGACTGACATCGTTACAAAGATTTGTAATGCTGGAAACTAGGGCTGCAACTAACGATTATTTTAAAAATCGATGAATCGGCCGATTATTTTTTCGATTAATCGATGAATCGGACAAAAAATATTTTTATATTAACCTCTTTATTCCAAAATAAACATTTTAGACAGAACAAACAAGCACACAAGTACAGGTTGCTCATTAACTGTACTGGTGCAATATGAAAAATAAATGTTTGTGTTAAAACTACGCAAACTTACATGAGAAATGTAGCTGTACATCCACAAAATATAGGGTACTTTGTTTCATAAAGCGCAAAAAAAGACATTTTTGTTTTTTAAAGCCCCTAAGGGGTTCAAACAATAGGCCCCCCCATTTCAACAAATGAGTTTTTTTAGACTAGAAGAGTTCTGCCTTTTAAGACAAGAAAGTATAGCAGTTAAAGTTGCTACTTGAGAAAATACTGAACCATAGTGATAAAAATAGCCTGTGATTCAAATTATAAATTGTATTTGGAATAAAAATGAGAGAACTAGGGGTGCTAAAAAACACATCCTCCACAGACAGATATTTACATGGGAATGTGGCATATAATTAATTGACATATTACTGATCTTGCTGGATTTTATTCTGCTTTACTTCCATAAATTGCAGGATCTTCTTTACTTTATCTTTGCCAGAAGATTTAAACTTTAAAAGCCTTGCCCTCATAATTTGCAAGTTAATTTATTTATAAAGAAAATATAAACGCTGCTTAAGCTAATTCAAATGAAATTAAAAGTAAAATAAGTAGCCAACCTTATCACTGTCTGTAACCTACTAACAAGGTAAGGAAAGCATCAGATGAGCTACCTGAGAAACTAACGTTACGTTTCCCCACTTTAAAACGAAAGAAACATGGTCGCTCACCCTGCTGATCAGCTCTCTTCACTGCCATCAAAGGCTCCAACGTGTTTCCTTTTCAGGTGCTGCATCATAACAGTGGTGGTTCCGCGCCATGTTCATTTGTTTTTACAAAAGATGCATGTTACGACTTTTTTCACTTTACAAAGCGCAGGCTATTTTAATTATTGTGATCAATTTGCGCCGTCAATCCCGGCGCATGCGCGCTTCATTTGCAGTCTGGACGCTGAGAGTAAACATCCTGCTGCTCTGACTGCAGCGCTGAGAGGGACTCCTGCGGGAGAGGGGTTGGGATGGGGGAGGCGCCCCACGGCAGAGTAGGAACGATACATGCTTTCACGTAAGAGTCTCCAAAAGCTGCCAGTGACACCGTAAAAAGTCGCCAGATTTGTCGCTAGCCGCTTTTTTGAAAAATAGTCGCTGGAAGGGTCTGAAAAGACGCTAAATATAGCGACAAAGTCGCTGAGTTGGCAACACTCCACCTGCGGCGCTGACTCACTCTGCCGTATTTTTTTTTCTTCCCCCGTTTCAGTCAAGTGGCAGTGATGACGACGGCGGATGACGCATTAATCGCGCGACACAACTAATCGATGATGAAATTCGATGCCAACGCTTTTAAAAGACGATTTTTATCGATTCGTTATTACAGCCCTACTGCAAACATTCTATGTCTCATCTCAGGTGTGATATATAGCCTATAAAGGATTTTAAATTGTCTCTCTCAGGTAGAATTTGAAGCTAAGGCCTTAAAAGGTCGGCTACACAACTCATCCCATGCCT